TCAGTCACTCGCTCGCTCACTCACTCAGTCACTCACCCACTCAGTCACTCAGTCACTCACTCAGTCACTCACTCACTCACTCAGTCACTCACCCACTCAGTCACTCAGTCAGTCACTCAGTCAGTCACTCAGTCAGTCACTCAGTCAGTCACTCAGTCAGTCAGTCACTCAGTCAGTCACTCACTCACTCACTCAGTCACTCACTCACTCAGTCACTCAGTCAGTCACTCAGTTAGTCACTCAGTCAGTCACTCAGTCAGTCACTCACTCAGTCACTCAGTCACTCACTCAGTCACTCAGTCAGTCACTCACTCACTCACTCAGTCACTCACTCACTCACTCAGTCACTCACTCACTCACTCAGTCACTCACCCACCCACTCACTCACTCACCCATTCACTAACTCACTCACCCACTCAGTCACTCACTCACCCACTCAGTCACTCACTCAGTCACTCAGTCACTCACTCAGTCACTCAGTCAGTCACTCACTCAGTCACTCAGTCAGTCACTCAGTCACTCACTCAGTCACTCACCCACTCAGTCACTCACTCACTCACTCAGTCACTCACTCAGTCACTCAGTCACTCACTCACTCACTCAGTCACTCACCCACTCAGTCACTCAGTCACTCAGTCACTCACTCACTCACCACCCCACTCACCCTCACCAAGTGTGTCTCTGGTGGTGAGCTCACTCACCTCTCGCATAGAGGAGCAGCTCACCCTGCTGTGGTGAGTAGCACTCACTCACTCAGTCAGTCACTCACTCAGTCACTCACTCAGTCAGTCACTCACTCACTCAGTCACTCACTCAGTCACTCACTCAGTCACTCAGTCACTCACTCACTCACTCAGTCACTCAGTCAGTCACTCACTCACTCAGTCACTCACCCACTCAGTCACTCAGTCACTCACTCAGTCACTCAGTCAGTCACTCACTCACTCAGTCACTCACCCACTCAGTCACTCAGTCACTCACTCAGTCACTCAGTCAGTCACTCACTCACTCAGTCACTCAGTCACTCAGTCACTCGCTCGCTCACTCACTCAGTCACTCACCCACTCAGTCACTCACTCACCCACTCACTCAGTCACTCAGTCACCCACTCAGTCACTCAGTCACTCACTCAGTCACTCAGTCAGTCACTCACCCAGTCACTCAGTCAGTCACTCAGTCACTCACTCAGTCAGTCACTCAGTCAGTCACTCACTCAGTCACTCAGTCACTCACTCAGTCACTCAGTCAGTCACTCACTCACTCAGTCACTCACCCACTCAGTCACTCACTCAGTCACTCACCCACTCACTCACTCAGTCACTCACTCAGTCACTCACTCAGTCACCCACCCACTCACTCACTCACCACCCCACTCACCCTCACCAAGTGTGTCTCTGGTGGTGAGCTCACTCACCTCTCGCATAGAGGAGCAGCTCACCCTGCTGCGGTGAGTAGCACTCACTCACTCAGTCAGTCACTCAGTCACTCACTCAGTCACTCAGTCACTCACTCAGTCACTCAGTGAGTCAGTCACTCAGTCACTCACTCAGTCACTCAGTCAGTCACTCACTCAGTCACTCACTCAGTCACTCAGTCAGTCAGTCACTCACTCACTCACTCACCCAGTCACTCACTCAGTCACTCAGTCACTCACTCAGTCAGTCACTCACTCAGTCAGTCAGTCAGTCACTCAGTCAGTCACTCACTCAGTCACTCAGTCAGTCACTCAGTCAGTCACTCACTCAGTCAGTCACTCACTCACTCAGTCACTCACCCACTCAGTCACTCAGTCACTCACTCAGTCACTCACTCAGTCACTCAGTCACCCACTCAGTCACTCACCCACTCACTCACCCACTCACTCACTCACTCACCCACTCACTCACCCACTTACTCACTCAGTCACTCACCCACTCACTCACTCAGTCACTCACCCACTCACTCACCCACTCACTCACTCAGTCACTCACCCACTCACTCACCCACTCACTCACTCACTCACCCACTCACTCACTCACCCACTCACTCACTCACCCACTCACTCACCCACTTACTCACTCAGTCACTCACCCACCCACCCACTCACCCACTCACCCACTCACTAACTCACTCACCCACTCAGTCACTCACTCACCCACTCAGTCACTCACTCAGTCACTCAGTCACTCACTCAGTCACTCAGTCAGTCACTCACTCAGTCACTCAGTCAGTCACTCAGTCACTCACTCAGTCACTCACCCACTCAGTCACTCAGTCAGTCACTCAGTCACTCACTCACTCAGTCACTCACCCACTCAGTCACTCACTCAGTCACTCACCCACTCACTCACTCACTCACCCACTCAGTCACTCAGTCACTCACCCACTCAGTCACTCACTCACTCACCCACTCAGTCACTCAGTCAGTCACTCACCCACTCAGTCACTCACTCACTCACTCAGTCACTCAGTCAGTCAGTCAGTCACTCACTCAGTCACTCACTCAGTCACTCACTCAGTCACTCACTCAGTCACTCACTCACTCACTCACTCAGTCACTCACTCAGTCACTCACTCAGTCACTCAGTCAGTCAGTCACTCAGTCACTCACTCAGTCAGTCACTCAGTCAGTCACTCACCCAGTCACTCACTCAGTCACTCACTCAGTCACTCAGTCAGTCACTCAGTCACTCACTCACTCACTCACCCACTCAGTCACTCAGTCACTCACCCACTCAGTCACTCACTCACTCACCCACTCAGTCACTCAGTCAGTCACTCACCCACTCAGTCACTCAGTCACTCACTCAGTCACTCAGTCAGTCACTCACTCACCCAGTCACTCAGTCACTCAGTCACTCACTCAGTCACTCACTCACCCACTCACTCACTCACCACCCCACTCACCCTCACCAAGTGTGTCTCTGGTGGTGAGCTCACTCACCTCTCGCATAGAGGAGCAGCTCACCCTGCTGCGGTGAGTAGCACTCACTCACTCAGTCAGTCACTCAGTCACTCACTCAGTCACTCAGTCAGTCAGTCAGTCACTCAGTCACTCACTCAGTCACTCAGTCAGTCACTCAGTCACTCAGTCACTCACTCAGTCACACAGTCAGTCAGTCAGTCACTCAGTGAGTCAGTCACTCACTCAGTCACTCACTCAGTCACTCAGTCACTCAGTCAGTCACTCACTCAGTCACTCACTCAGTCAGTCAGTCACTCAGTCACTCAGTCACTCACTCACTCAGTCACTCACCCACTCAGTCACTCAGTCACTCACTCAGTCACTCAGTCAGTCACTCACTCAGTCACTCACTCAGTCAGTCACTCAGTCAGTCACTCAGTCACTCACTCAGTCACTCAGTCAGTCACTCAGTCAGTCACTCAGTCACTCAGTCACTCACTCAGTCACTCACTCAGTCACTCAGTCAGTCAGTCACTCAGTCAGTCAGTCACTCAGTCACTCACTCAGTCACTCACTCAGTCACTCAGTCAGTCACTCACTCAGTCACTCAGTCAGTCAGTCACTCAGTCAGTCACTCAGTCAGTCACTCAGTGAGTCAGTCACTCACTCACTCACTCACTCAGTCAGTCACCCACTCAGTCACTCACCCACTCACTCACTCACTCAGTCAGTCACTCAGTCACTCACTCACTCAGTCACTCACCCACTCAGTCACTCACCCACTCACTCACCCACTCACTCACTCACTCACCACCCCACTCACCCTCACCAAGTGTGTCTCTGGTGGTGAGCTCACTCACCTCTCGCATAGAGGAGCAGCTCACCCTGCTGCGGTGAGTAGCACTCACTCAGTCACTCACTCAGTCACTCACTCAGTCACTCACTCAGTCACTCACTCAGTCACTCAGTCAGTCACTCAGTCAGTCACTCAGTCACTCACTCACTCAGTCACTCACCACCCCACTCACCCTCACCAAGTGTGTCTCTGGTGGTGAGCTCACTCACCTCTCGCATAGAGGAGCAGCTCACCCTGCTGCGGTGAGTAGCACTCACTCACTCACTCAGTCACTCACTCAGTCACTCACTCAGTCACTCACTCAGTCACTCAGTCAGTCAGTCAGTCACTCAGTGAGTCAGTCACTCAGTCAGTCACTCACTCACTCAGTCACTCACTCAGTCACTCACTCACTCAGTCAGTCACTCACCCAGTCACTCACTCAGTCACTCACTCAGTCACTCACTCAGTCACTCAGTCAGTCACTCACTCAGTCACTCACTCAGTCACTCAGTCACTCAGTCAGTCACTCAGTCACTCAGTCACTCACTCACTCAGTCACTCAGTCAGTCACTCAGTCACTCACTCAGTCACTCAGTCAGTCACTCAGTCAGTCACTCACTCAGTCACTCACTCAGTCACTCACTCACTCAGTCACTCACTCAGTCACTCAGTCACTCGCTCGCTCACTCACTCAGTCACTCACCCACTCAGTCACTCACTCACCCACTCACTCACTCAGTCACTCACTCAGTCACTCAGTCACTCACTCAGTCACTCACCCACTCACTCACCCACTCACTCACTCACTCACCCACTCACTCACCCACTTACTCACTCAGTCACTCACCCACTCACTCACTCAGTCACTCACCCACTCACTCACCCACTCACTCACTCAGTCACTCACTCACTCACCCACTCACTCACTCACTCACCCACTCACTCACCCACTTACTCACTCAGTCACTCACCCACTCACTCACTCACCCACTCACTAACTCACTCACCCACTCAGTCACTCACTCACCCACTCAGTCACTCAGTCACTCACCCACTCACTCACCCACTCACTCACTCAGTCACTCACTCACTCACCCACTCACTCACTCACTCACCCACTCACTCACTCACTCACCCACTCACCCACTTACTCACTCAGTCACTCACCCACTCACTCACTCACCCACTCACTAACTCACTCACCCACTCAGTCACTCACTCACCCACTCAGTCACTCACTCACCCACTCACTCACTCACCCACTAATTCAGTGTTGTGGTAGTTGCCGTGGTTGTGGTGGTGGTTGTGGTTAACGTGCTGGTGGTTGTGGTGTTTGTTGTGGTGGTTGTGGTGGTTGTTGTGGTGGTTGTGGTGGTTTTTGTTAATGTGGTGGTTGTGGTTAATGTTGTGGTTGTGGTGGTGGTTGTGGATGTGGTTAATGTTGTGGTGGTTGTTGTGGTGGTTGTGGTGGTGGTTGTGGTGGTTGTTGTTGTTGTGGTGGTGGTTGTGGTTAATGTTGTGGTGGTTGTTGTGGTGGTTGTGGTGGTGGTTGTGGTGGTTGTTGTGGTTGTGGTGGTGGTTGTGGTTAATGTTGTGGTGGTTGTGGTGGTGGTTGTGGTGGTTGTTGTTGTTGTGGTTGTTGTTGTGGTGGTTGTTGTTGTTGTGGTGGTTGTTGTTGTTGTGGTGGTTGTTGTGGTGGTGGTGGTTGTTGTTGTTGTGGTGGTTGTTGTTGTTGTGGTTGTTGTTGTTGTGGTTGTTGTTGTTGTGGTTGTGGTGGTGGTTGTGGATGTGGTTAATGTTGTGGTGGTTGTTGTGGTGGTTGTGGTGGTGGTTGTTGTTGTTGTTGTGGTTGTTGTTGTGGTGGTGGTGGTTGTTGTGTTTCAGGATGTGTGAAGTCACAGCGTGTTTCCTGGGTCAAGCGGAAGTGACGATGCCGTCTCTCCTACAGGATGTGGAGCGGTAAATATCATCAATACCATCACCACTATCATCACTACCATCACCATCATCATCAATAACATCACCATCATCACTACCATCAATAACATCATCACCATCATCATCATCACTATCATCATCACCATCACTACCATCATCACCATCACTACCACCATCATCATCATCACCACTATCATCACTATCACTACCATCACCATCACTACCATCACTATCACTATCATCACTACCATCAATAACATCATCACTATCATCACTACCATCAATAACATCATCACTATCATCACTACCATCAATAACATCATCACTATCATCACTATCATCAATAACATCATCACTATCATCATCACCACTATCATCACTACCATCACTACCATCATCATCACTACCACCATCATCACCATCATCACTATCACTATCATCACTACCATCACCATCATCATCACTATCATCACTATCACTATCATCACCATCATCACCATCATCATCACCACCATCATCACCATCACTACCATCATCACCATCATCACTACCACCATCATCACCATCACTACCATCACTATCACTACCATCACTATCACTATCATCACCATCATCACCATCACTACCATCACTATCACTACCATCACTATCACTACCATCACCATCACTACCATCATCACCATCATCACTATCACTATCATCACTACCATCACCATCATCATCACTATCATCACTATCACTACCATCACTATCACTATCATCACTATCACTACCATCACTACCACCATCACTACCATCATCATCACTATCATCACTATCACTACCATCATCACTACCATCACTACCATCACCATCACTATCATCACCATCATCACTACCACTATCACTATCATCATCACCACCATCATCATCACTACCATCACTACCATCATCACTATCATCACTATCACTACCATCACTATCATCACCATCATCACTACCACTATCACTATCATCATCACCACCATCATCATCACTATCATCACTACCATCATCACTATCATCACTATCACTACCATCACTATCATCACCATCATCACTACCACTATCACTATCATCATCACCACCATCATCATCACTATCATCACTACCATCATCACTATCATCACTATCACTACCATCACTATCATCACCATCATCACTACCACTATCACTATCATCATCACCACCATCATCATCACTATCATCACTATCACTACCATCACCACTATCACTACCATCATCACTACCATCATCACTATCATCATCACCATCATCACCATCATCACCATCACTATCACCATCATCATCACCATCACTACCATCATCACCACCACTATCACTATCATCATCACCATCATCACCATCACTACCACCATCATCACCATCACTACCATCACTATCACTACCATCACTATCACTATCATCACTATCACTATCATCACTATCACTACCATCATCACCACCACTATCACTATCATCATCACCATCATCACCATCACTACCACCATCATCACCATCACTACCATCACTATCACTACCATCACTATCACTATCATCACTATCACTATCATCACTATCACTACCATCATCACCACCACTATCACTATCATCATCACCATCATCACCATCACTACCACCATCATCACCATCACTACCATCACTATCACTACCATCACTATCACTATCATCACTATCACTATCATCACTATCACTACCATCATCACCACCACTATCACTATCATCATCACCATCATCACCATCACTACCACCATCATCACCATCACTACCATCACTATCACTACCATCACTATCACTATCATCACTATCACTACCATCACTACCACCATCATCACCATCATCATCATCACTACCATCACCATCATCACTACCATCACTATCACTATCATCACTATCACTACCATCATCATCATCACTACCATCACTACCATCATCATCATCATGACTACCATCACCATCATCATCACTACCATCACTACCATCACTATCACTATCATCACTATCACTACCATCATCACCATCACTACCATCACCATCATCATCACCATCACTACCATCATCACCATCATCACTACCATCATCACCATCACTACCATCACTATCATCACCACTATCACTACCATCATCACTACCATCATCACTAACATCACTACCATCACTACCATCATCACTACCATCATCACTAACATCACTACCATCACTACCATCATCACTACCATCATCACCATCACTACCATCATCATCATCATCACTACCATCACTACCATCATCACTACCATCATCACCATCACTACCATCATCATCATCATCACTACCATCATCATCACCATCACTACCATCACTACCATCATCATCACCATCACTACCATCATCATCATCATCACTATCATCACTACCATCATCACTACCATCATCACTATCACCATCATCATCACTATCATCACCACCATCACCACCATCACCACCATCACCACCACCATCACCACCATCACCACCATCACCACCACCATCACCACCATCACCACCATCACCACCATCACCACTACCATCACTACCATCACCATCACCACCATCACCACCACCATCACCACCATCACCACCATCACCACTACCATCACTACCACCATCACCATCACCACCATCACTACACTCACCACTATCATCACTACCACCATCACTACCATCACCACCACCATCACCACTACACTCACCACCACCACTACACTCACCACTACACTCACCACTACTACACTCACCACCACCACTACACTCACCACCACCACTACACTCACCACCACGACTACACTCACCACCACCACTACACTCACCACCACCACTACACTCACCACCACCACTACACTCACCACCACCACTACACTCACCACCACTACACTCACCACCACCACTACACTCACCACCACTACACTCACCACCACTACACTCACCACCACCACTACACTCACCACCACTACACTCACCACCACCACTACACTCACCACTACACTCACCACCACCACTACACTCACCACCACCACTACGCTCACCACCACTAAACTCACCACCACCACTACACTCACCACCACCACTACACTCACCACCACTACACTCACCACTACACTCACCACCACCACTACACTCACCACCACCACTACACTCACCACCACCACTACACTCACCACCACCACTACACTCACCACCACCACTACACTCACCACCACCACTACACTCACCACTACACTCACCACCACCACCACCACACTCACCACTACACTCACCACCACCACTACACTCACCACCACCACTACACTCACCACTAAACTCACCACTAAACTCACCACCACCACACTCACCACCACCACTACACTCACCACTACACTCACCACTACACTCACCACCACCACTACACTCACCACCACCACTACACTCACCACCACTACACTCACCACCACCACTACACTCACCACCACTACACTCACCACCACCATCACCACACTCACCACCACCACTACACTCACCACCACTACACTCACCACCACCACTACACTCACCACTAAACTCACCACCACTACACTCACCACCACTACACTCACCACCACCACTACACTCACCACCACCACTACACTCACCACTAAACTCACCACCACTACACTCACCACCACTACACTCACCACCACTAAACTCACCACCACCACTACACTCACCACCACTAAACTCACCACCACCACTACACTCACCACCACCACTACACTCACCACCACTACACTCACCACCACCACTACACTCACCACCACCACCACTACACTCACCACCACTAAACTCACCACCACCACTACACTCACCACCACTACACTCACCACCACCACTAAACTCACCACCACCACTAAACTCACCACTACCACTAAACTCACCACCACCACTACACTCACCACCACTACACTCACCACCACCACTACACTCACCACCACCACTACACTCACCACTAAACTCACCACTAAACTCACCACCACCACTACACTCACCACCACCACTACACTCACCACTACACTCACCACTAAACTCACCACCACTACACTCACCACCACCACCACTACACTCACCACCACCACCACTACACTCACCACTACACTCACCACCACCACTACACTCACCACTAAACTCACCACTAAACTCACCACCACCACTACACTCACCACCACCACTACACTCACCACCACCACTACACTCACCACCACTACACTCACCACCACTACACTCACCACTACACTCACCACCACCACTACACTCACCACCACTACACTCACCACCACTACACTCACCACCACTACACTCACCACTACACTCACCACCACTACACTCACCACCACCACTACACTCACCACCACCACCACACTCACCACCACTACACTCACCACTACACTCACCACTACACTCACCACCACCACACTCACCACCACTACACTCACCACCACTACACTCACCACCACTAAACTCACCACCACCACTACACTCACCACCACTACACTCACCACCACCACTACACTCACCACCACTACACTCACCACCACCACTACACTCACCACTACTACACTCACCACTACACTCACCACCACTACACTCACCACCACTACCCTCACCACCACCACTACACTCACCACCACTACACTCACCACCACCACTACACTCACCACCACCACTACACTCACCACTAAACTCACCACCACCACTACACTCACCACCACTACACTCACCACCACTACACTCACCACCACTACACTCACCACCACTACACTCACCACCACTACACTCACCACCACCACTACACTCACCACCACTACACTCACCACCACCACTACTACACTCACCACCACTACACTCACCACTACTACACTCACCACTACACTCACCACCACCACACTCACCACCACTACACTCACCACCACCACTACACTCACCACCACTACACTCACCACCACCACTACTACACTCACCACTACACTCACCACCACCACTACACTCACCACCACCACTACACTCACCACCACTGCTACACTCACCACCACTACACTCACCACCACCACTACACTCACCACCACCACCACTACACTCACCACCACTGCTACACTCACCACCACCACTACACTCACCACCACCACTACACTCACCACCACTACACTCACCACCACTACACTCACCACCACTACACTCACCACCACCACACTCACCACCACTACACTCACCACCACTACACTCACCAACACCACTACACTCACCACCACTACACTCACCACCACCACACTCACCACCACCACACTCACCACCACTACACTCACCACCACTACACTCACCACCACCACTACACTCACCACCACTACACTCACCACCACCACTACACTCACCACCACCACCACACTCACCACCACCACTACACTCACCACTAAACTCACCACCACCACTACACTCACCACCACCACTACACTCACCACCACCACTACACTCACCACCACTACACTCACCACTACACTCACCACTACACTCACCACCACTACACTCACCACTACACTCACCACTACACTCACCACCACTACACTCACCACTAAACTCACCACCACCACTACACTCACCACCACCACTACACTCACCACCACCACTAAACTCACCACCACTACACTCACCACCACCACTACACTCACCACCACCACTACACTCACCACTACACTCACCACCACTACACTCACCACTACACTCACCACTACACTCACCACCACTACACTCACCACTAAACTCACCACCACCACTACACTCACCACCACCACTAAACTCACCACCACCACTACACTCACCACCACTACACTCACCACCACCACTACACTCACCACCACCACTACACTCACCACTACTACACTCACCACTACACTCACCACCACTACACTCACCACCACCACTACACTCACCACCACCACTACACTCACCACCACTACACTCACCACCACTAAACTCACCACCACCACACTCACCACCACCACTACACTCACCACCACTAAACTCACCACCACCACTACACTCACCACCACCACCACACTCACCACCACTACACTCACCACCACTACACTCACCACCACTACACTCACCACCACCACCACTACACTCACCACTACACTCACCACCACTACACTCACCACCACTACACTCACCACTACACTCACCACTACACTCACCACCACTACACTCACCACCACCACACTCACCACCACTACACTCACCACTAAACTCACCACCACACTCACCACCACCACTAAACTCACCACCACTAAACTCACCACTAAACTCACCACCACTAAACTCACCACTAAACTCACCACCACCACCACTACACTCACCACCACCACTACACTCACCACTACACTCACCACTAAACTCACCACCATCTCTCTCACCAGGGGCTGCTACAGAGTTGTATACCTCACCCCTGAATCGTTCAGCACTCACCAACAGCTACTCACCTCTGTGTACAAGCATGTGGGTAAGACTCACCACTACTCACCACTACACTCACCACTACACTCACCACTACACTCACCACTACACTCACCACTACTCACCACTACACTCACCACTACACTCACCACTACACTCACCACTACACTCACCACTACTCACCACTACACACACCACTACTCACCACTACACACACCACTACACTCACCACTACTCACCACTACTCACCACTACACTCACCACTACTCACCACTACACACACCACTACACTCACCACTACTCACCACTACACTCACCACTACACTCACCACTACTCACCACTACTCACCACTACACTCACCACTACACTCACCACTACACTCACCACTACTCACCACTACTACACTCACCACTACTCACCACTACACTCACCACTACACTCACCACTACTCACCACTACACTCACCACTACACTCACCACTACACTCACCACTACTCACCACTACACTCACCACTACACTCACCACTACACTCACCACTACACTCACCACTACTCACCACTACACTCACCACTACACTCACCACTACACTCACCACTACTCACCACTACACTCACCACTACACTCACCACTAGTCACCACTACTCACCACTACACTCACCACTACTCACCACTACACTCACCACTACACTCACCACTACTCACCACTACTCACCACTACACTCACCACTGCTCACCACTACACTCACCACTACACTCACCACTACACTCACCACTACTCACCACTACACTCACCACTACACTCACCACTACTCACCACTACACTCACCACTACACTCACCACTACACTCACCACCACTACACTCACCACTACACTCACCACTACTCACCACCACTACACTCACCACTACACTCACCACTACTCACCACTACACTCACCACTACTCACCACTACTACACTCACCAATACACTCACCACTACACTCACCACTACACTCACCACTACTCACCACTACTCACCACTACACTCACCACTACACTCACCACTACACTCACCACTACACTCACCACTACACTCACCACTACTCACCACTACACTCACCACTACACTCACCACTACACTCACCACTACACTCACCACTACACTCACCACCACTACACTCACCACTACACTCACCACTACACTCACCACTACACTCACCACCACTACACTCACCACTACTCACCACTACTCACCACTACTACTCACCACTACACTCACCACTACTCACCACTACACTCAATACTACACTCACCACTACACTCACCACTACTCACCACTACACTCACCACTACTCACCACTACACTCACCACTACTCACCACTACTCACCACTACACTCACCACTACACTCACCACTACACTCACCACTACACTCACCACTACACTCACCACTACACTCACCACTACTCACCACTACTCACCACTACACTCACCACTACACTCACCACTACACTCACCACCACTACACTCACCACTACTCACCACTACTCACCACTACACTCACCATTATACTCACCACTACACTCACCACTACACTCACCACTACTCACCACTACACTAACCACTACACTCACCACTACTCACCACTACTCACCACTCCTCACCACTACTCACCACTACTCACCACTACACTCACCACTACACTCACCACTACTCACCACTACACTAACCACTACACTCACCACTACTCACCACTACTCACCACTACTCACCACTACACTCACCACTACTCACCACTACACTCACCACTACTCACCACTACTCACCACTACACAATGGTGGTAGTTGTTGTTGTGGTTGTTGTGGTTGTTGTTGTGGTTGTTGTGGTTGTTGTTGTGGTTGTTGTGGTAGTTGTTGTGGTGGTTGTGGTTGTTGTGGTTGTGGTTGTTGTTGTGGTTGTTGTTGTTGTTGTTGTGGTTGTAGGAATTGTTGTGGTTGTTGTTGTGGTGGTTGTGGTTGTTGTGGTTGTGGTTGTTGTTGTGGTTGTTGTTGTTGTGGTTGTTGTTGTGGTGGTTGTTGTGGTAGTTGTTGTGGTGGTTGTTGTGGTAGTTGTTGTGGTGGTTGTTGTGGTAGTTGTTGTGGTAGTTGTTGTGGTAGTTGTTGTTGTTGTGGTTGTTGTGGTTGTTGTGGTTGTTGTTGTTGTGGTTGATGTGGTTGTTGTTGTGGTTGTAGGAATTGTTGTGATTGTTGTTGTGGTGGTGGTGGAGGATGCTCACTCCGTCTCCCAGTGGTGGTGATGGTTGTTGATAGTTGTTGTTATTGTGGTTGTTGTGATAATTGTTGTTGTTGTGGTTGTTGTGGTTGTTGTTGTGGTTGTTGTTGTGGTTGTTGTTGTGGTTGTGTTGGTTGTTGTGGTGGTTGTGGTGGTTGTTGTTAATGTTGTGGTGGTTGTGGTGGTTGTTGTTAATGTTGTGATGGTTGTTAATGTTGTGGTGGTTGTGGTGGTTGTGGTGGTTGTTGTTAATGTTGTGATGGTTGTGGTGGTTGTGGTGGTTGTTGTTAATGTTGTGGTGGTTGTGGTGGTTGTGGTGGTTGTTGTTAATGTTGTGATGGTTGTGGTGGTTGTGGTGGTTGTTGTTAATGTTGTCGTGGTTGTGGTTGTTGTGGTGGTGGTGGTTGTGGTGGTTGTGGTGGTGGTTGTTGTTGTTGTAGTTAATGTTGTGGTGGTTGTTGTTGTTGTGATGATTGTTGTTGTTGTGGTTGTTGTTGTAGGAATTGTTGTGGTGGTGGTGGAGGATGCTCACTCCATCTCTCAGTGGAGTTTTCACTTCCAGCCAAAGTCTCAGCTCCTGAATGGTCTGAAGACTCAAATGCCTCAGGTAACACTCACCACTACTCACCACTACTCACCACTACTACACTCACCACTACTACACTCACCACTACTCACCACTACTCACCACTACACTCAATACTACACTCACCACTACTCACCACTACTCACCACTACACTCACCACTACACTCACCACTACACTCACCACTACTCACCACTACTACACTCACCACTACACTCACCACTACACTCACCACTACACTCACCTCTACTCACCACTACACTCACCACTACACTCACCACTACACTCACCACTACACTCACCACTACACTCACCTCTACTCACCACTACTCACCACTACACTCACCACTACTCACCACTACTCACCACTACTCACCACTACACTCACCACCACTACACTCACCACTACACTCACCACTACTCACCACTACACTCACCACTACACTCACCACTACACTCACCACTACTCACCACTACTCACCACTACTCACCACTACTACACTCACCACTACACTCACCACTACACTCACCACTACTCACCACTACTCACCACTACTACACTCACCACTACACTCAATACTACACTCACCACTACTCACCACTACACTCACCACTACTCACCACTACACTCAATACTACACTCACCACTACTCACCACTACTCACCACTACTCACCACTACTCACCACTACTCACCACTACACTCACCACTACTCACCACTACTCACCACTACACTCACCACTACTCACCACTACTACACTCACCACTACACTAACCACTACTCACCACTACACTCACCACTACTCACCACTACTCACACTCACCACTACACTCACCACTACTCACCACTACACTCACCACTACTCACCACTACACTCACCACTACTCACCACTACTCACCACTACTCACCACTACACTCACCACTACTCACCACTACACTCACCACTACACTCACCACTACACTCACTACTACTCACCACTACACTCACCACTACACTCACCACTACACTCACCACTACTCACCACTACTCACCACTACACTCACCACTACTCACCACTACACTCACCACTACTCACCACTACTCACCACTACACTCACCACTAACACTCACCACTACACTCACCACTACACTCACCACTACACTCACCACTACACTCACCACTAACACTCACCACTACACTCACCACTACACTCACCACTACACTCACCACTACACTCACCACTACACTCACCACTACTCACCACTCACTACTCACCACTAACACTCACCACTACACTCACCACTACACTCACCACTACACTCACCACTAACACTCACCACTCACTACTCACCACTACACTCACCACTACACTCACCACTACACTCACCACTAACACTCACCACTCACTACTCACCACTACACTCACCACTACTCACCACTACTCACCACTACACTCACCACTACTCACCACTACACTCACCACTACTCACCACTACTCACCACTACACTCACCACTACTCACCACTACACTCACCACTACTCACCACTACACTCACCACTCCTCACCACTACTCACCACTACTACACTCACCACTACACTAACCACTACTCACCACTACACTCACCACTACTCACCACTACTCACACTCACCACTACACTCACCACTACTCACCACTACACTCACCACTACACTCACCACTACACTCACCACTACACTCACCACTACACTCACCACTACACTCACCACCACTCACCACTACACTCACCACTACACTCACCACTACACTCACCACTACTCACCACTACTCACCACTACACTCACCACTACACTCACCACTACTCACCACTACACTCACCACTACACTCACCACTACTCACCACTACTCACCACTACTCACCACTACTCACCACTACACTCACCACTACTCACCACTACACTCACCACTACTCACCACTACACTCACCACTACTCACCACTACACTCACCACTACACTCACCACTACACTCACTACTCACCACTACTCACCACTCACTCACCACTACACTCACCACTACACTCACCACTACTCACCACTACACTCACCACTACACTCACCACTACACTCACCACTACACTCACCACTACTCACCACTACACTCACCACTACTCACCACTACTCACCACTCACTCACCACTACACTCACCACTACTCACCACTACACTCACCACTACACTCACCACTACTCACCACTACACTCACCGCTACTCACCACTACACTCACCACTACACTCACCACTACTCACCACTACACTCACCACTACACTCACCGCTACTCACCACTACACTCACCACTACACTCACCACTACACTCACCACTACTCACCACTACTCACCACTACTCACCACTACACTCACCACTACACTCACCACTACTCACCACTACTACACTCACCACTACTCACCACTACACTCACCACTACTCACCACTACTCACCACTACTCACCACTACACTCACCACTACACTCACCACTACACTCACCACTACTACACTCACCACCACACTCACCACTACTCACCACTACTCACCACTACACTCACCACTACACTCACCACTACTCACCACTACTACACTCACCACTCCTCACCACTACTACACTCACCACTCCTCACCACTACACTCACCACTACACTCACCACTACTCACCACTACACTCACCACTACACTCACCACTATTCACCACTCACTCACCACTACACTCACCACTACACTCACCACTACACTCACCACTACTCACCACTACTCACCACTACACTCACCACTACTCACCACTACACTCACCACTACTCACCACTACTACACTCACCACTACACTCACCACTACTCACCACTACACTCACCACTTCTCACCACTACACTCACCACTACTCACCACTACTCACCACTACACTCACCACTACTCACCACTACTCACCACTACTACACTCACCACTACTACACTCACCACTACTCACCACTACTCACCACTACTACACTCACCACTACACTAACCACTACTCACCACTACACTCACCACTACTCACCACTACACTCACCACTACTCACCACTACTCACCACTACTCACCACTACACTCACCACTACTCACCACTACACTCACCACTACTCACCACTACTCACACTCACCACTACACTCACCACTACTCACCACTACACTCACCACTACACTCACCACTACACTCACCACTACTCACCACTACTCACCACTACACTCACCACTACTCACCACTACACTCACTACTCACCACTACACTCACCACTACACTCACCACTACTCACCACTACACTCAATACTACACTCACCACTACTCACCACTACTCACCACTACACTCACCACTACACTCACCACTACACTCACCACTACTCACCACTACTACACTCACCACTACTACACTCACCACTACTCACCACTACTACACTCACCACTACACTAACCACTACTCACCACTACACTCACCACTACTCACCACTACTCACCACTACACTCACCACTACACTCACCACTACACTCACTGCTACTCACCACTACACTCACCACTACACTCACCACTACACTCACCACTACTCACCACTACACTCACCACTACACTCACCACTACTCACCACTACACTCACCACTACTCACCACTACACTCACCACTACACTCACCACTACACTCACCACTACTCACCACTACACTCACCACTACACTCACCACTACTCACCACTACACTCACCACTACTCACCACTACTCACCACTACACTCACCACTACACTCACCACTACTCACCACTACACTCACCACTACACTCACCACTACTCACCACTACACTCACCACTACTCACCACTACTCACCACTACACTCACCACTACACTCACCACTACTCACCACTACACTCACCACTACACTCACCACTACACTCACCACTACACTCACCACTACTTACCACTTCTCACCACTACACTCACCACTACTCACCACTGCTACACTCACTACTCACCACTACTCACCACCACTACACTCACCACTACACTCACCACTACTCACCACTACTCACCACTACTCACCACTACACTCACCACTACACTCACCACTACTCACCACTACACTCACCACTACTCACCACTACACTCACCACTACACTCACCACTACACTCACCACTACTCACCACTACACTCACCACTACACTCACCACTACTCACCACTACACTCACCACTACTCACCACTACTCACCACTACACTCACCACTACACTCACCACTACTCACCACTACACTCACCACTACACTCACCACTACTCACCACTACACTCACCACTACTCACCACTACTCACCACTACACTCACCACTACACTCACCACTACTCACCACTACACTCACCACTACACTCACCACTACACTCACCACTACACTCACCACTACACTCACCACTACTTACCACTTCTCACCACTACACTCACCACTACTCACCACTGCTACACTCACTACTCACCACTACTCACCACTACTACACTCACCACTACTACACTCACCACTACTCACCACTACACTCACCACTACTCACCACTACTCACCACTACACTCACCACTACACTCACCACTACTCACCACTACACTCACCACTACACTCACCACTACACTCACCACTACTCACCACTACACTCACCACTACACTCACCACTACACTCACCACTACTCACCACTACACTCACCACTACTCACCACTACTCACCACTGGTTACCCTAGTTACCCTGGTTACCCCTAGTTACCCTAGTTACCCCTAGTTACCCCTGTTACCCTAGTTACCCCTGGTTACCCTAGTTATCCTGGTTACCCCTGGTTACCCTAGTTATCCTGGTTACCCCTAGTTACCCCTAGTTACCCTGGTTACCCTAGTTACCCTGGTGACCCCTGGTGACCCCCTGTGACCCCGTGACCCCCGTGACCCCCGTGACCTCCCCGTGACCCCCCCGTGACCCCCTCCCCACAGGTCCCAGTGCTCTCCATCCCGCTCTGTGCTTCAGGACATCGTCACCACGCTCGGGGCCTGGCTAGGCCACGGGGTGATGATGGTGACCCCTGGTTAACCCTGTGACCCCCTGTGACCCCTGTGACCTCCCCGTGACCCCCTGTGACCTCCCCGTGACCCCCGTGACCTCCTCCCCCCAGGTCCCAGTGCTCGCCCTGCCGCCCGGTTCTTCAGGAAATCGTCACCACGCTCGGGGCCTGGCTAGGCCCATTGGTGCTGATGGTGACCCCTGGTTAACCCTGTGACCTCTGTGACCCCCGTGACCTCCCCGTGACCCCCGTGACCTCCCCCAGGTCCCAGTGCTCGCCCTGTCCCGCTCTGTGCTTCAGGACATCGTCACCACGCTGGGGCCTGGCTAGGCCACGGGGTGATGATGGTGACCCCTGGTTAACCCTGTGACCCCTGTGACCCCTGTAACCCCTGTGACCTCCCCGTGACCCCCCCGTGACCTCCCCACAGGTCCCAGTGCTCGCCCTGCCGCCCGGTTCTTCAGGAAATCGTCGCCACGCTCGGGGCCTGGCTAGGCCACGGGGTGATGATGGTGACCCCTGGTTAACCCTGTGACCCCTGTGACCCCCGTGACCCCTGTGACCTCCCCGTGACCCCCGTGACCTCCTCCACCCAGGTCCCAGTGCTCGCCCTGCCGCCCGGTTCTTCAGGAAATCGTCACCACGCTCGGGGCCTGGCTAGGCCCATTGGTGCTGATGGTGACCCCTGGTTAACCCTGTGACCCCTGTGACCCCCTGTGACCCCTGTGACCTCCCCGTGACCCCCGTGACCCCCGTGACCTCCCCACAGGTCCCAGTGCTCGCCCTGTCCCGCTCTCCATCCCGCTCTGTGCTTCAAGACATCGTCGCCACGCTCGGGGCCTGGCTAGGCCACGGGGTGATGATGGTGACCCCCTGGTGACCCCTGTGACCCCTGTGACCCCTGTGACCTCCCCGTGACCCCCGTGACCTCCCCCAGGTCCCAGTGCTCGCCCTGTCCCGCTCTCCATCCCGCTCTGTGCTTCAGGAAATCGTCACCACGCTCGGGGCCTGGCTAGGCCCATTGGTGCTGATGGTGACCCCTGGTTAACCCTGTGACCTCTGTGACCCCCGTGACCTCCCCGTGACCCCCGTGACCTCCCCACCCAGGTCCCAGTGCTCGCCCTGTCCCGCTCCCCATCTCGCCCGGTTCTTCAGGACATCGTCACCACGCTCGGGGCCTGGCTAGGCCACGGGGTGATGATGGTGACCCCTGGTTAACCCTGTGACCCCTGTGACCTCTGTGACCCCTGTGACCTCCCCGTGACCCCCGTGACCTCCCCCAGGTCCCAGTGCTCGCCCTGTCCCGCTCTGTGCTTCAAGAAATCGTCGCCACGCTCGGGGCCTGGCTAGGCCCAGTGGTGCTGATGGTGACCCCTGGTTAACCCTGTGACCCCCTGTGACCCCCGTGACCTCCCCGTGACCCCCGTGACCTCCCCACAGGTCCCAGTGCTCGCCCTGTCTCGCTCTGTGCTTCAGGAAATCGTCACCACGCTCGGGGCCTGGCTAGGCCACGGGGTGATGATGGTGACCCCTGGTTAACCCTGTGACCTCTGTGACCCCTGTGACCTCCCCGTGACCCCCGTGACCTCCTCCCCACAGGTCCCAGTGCTCGCCCTGTCCCGCTCTCCATCCCGCCCGGTTCTTCAGGACATCGTCACCACGCTCGGGGCCTGGCTAGGCCACGGGGTGATGATGGTGACCCCTGGTTAACCCTGTGACCTCTGTGACCCCCGTGACCTCCCCGTGACCCCCCCGTGACCTCCCCCCAGGTCCCAGTGCTCGCCCTGTCCCGCTCTCCATCCCGCTCTGTGCTTCAGGACATCGTCACCACGCTCGGGGCCTGGCTAGGCCCAGTGGTGCTGATGGTGACCTCCTGGTTAACCCTGTGACCCCTGTGACCCCCGTGACCCCTGTGACCTCCCCGTGACCCCCGTGACCTCCCCCAGGTCCCAGTGCTCGCCCTGTCCCGCTCTCCATCCCGCCCGGTTCTTCAGGACATCGTCGCCGCCCTCGGCCTAGCTAGGCCACGGGGTGCTGATGGTGACCCCTGGTTAACCCTGTGACCTCTGTGACCCCCGTGACCTCCCCGTGACCCCCGTGACCTCCCCCAGGTCCCAGTGCTCGCCCTGTCCCGCTCTCCATCCCGCCCGGTTCTTCAGGACATCGTCGCCGCCCTCGGCCTAGCTAGGCCACGGGGTGCTGATGGTGACCCCTGGTTAACCCTGTGACCTCTGTGACCCCCGTGACCTCCCCGTGACCCCCGTGACCTCCCCCAGGTCCCAGTGCTCGCCCTGTCCCGCTCTCCATCCCGCCCGGTTCTTCAGGAAATCGTCGCCGCCCTCGGCCTGGCTAGGCCACGGGGTGATGATGGTGACCCCCTGGTTAACCCTGTGACCTCTGTGACCCCTGTGACCTCCCCGTGACCCCCGTGACCTCCCCACAGGTCCCAGTGCTCGCCCTGTCCCGCTCTCCATCCCGCTCTGTGCTTCAGGACATCGTCGCCACGCTGGGGCCTGGCTAGGCCCATTGGTGCTGATGGTGACCCCCTGGTTAACCCTGTGACCTCTGTGACCCCTGTGACCTCCCCGTGACCCCCGTGACCTCCCCCAGGTCCCAGTGCTCGCCCTGTCCCGCTCTCCATCCCGCTCTGTGCTTCAGGACATCGTCGCCACGCTGGGGCCTGGCTAGGCCCATTGGTGCTGATGGTGACCTCCTGGTTAACCCTGTGACCCCCGTGACCCCTGTGACCTCCCCGTGACCCCTGTGACCTCCCCCAGGTCCCAGTGCTCGCCCTGTCCCGCTCTCCATCCCGCCCGGTTCTTCAGGACATCGTCGCCGCCCTCGGCCTGGCTAGGCCACGGGGTGATGATGGTGACCCCTGGTTAACCCTGTGACCCCTGTGACCTCTGTGACCCCTGTGACCTCCCCGTGACCCCCGTGACCTCCCCCAGGTCCCAGTGCTCGCCCTGTCCCGCTCTCCATCCCGCCCGGTTCTTCAGGACATCGTCACCACGCTCGGGGCCTGGCTAGGCCCATTGGTGCTGATGGTGACCCCTGGTTAACCCTGTGACCCCCGTGACCTCCCCGTGACCCCCGTGACCCCCGTGACCTCCCCCAGGTCCCAGTGCTCGCCCTGTCCCGCTCTCCATCCCGCCCGGTTCTTCAGGACATCGTCGCCGCCCTCGGCCTGGCTAGGCCCAGGCTTCTCACGCAGCCCTTCGACTCGCCTCGAATCACTCTCGAGGTGTCTCAGCGGTCCGGCTCGCTGGCTCACGACCTGCAGGGCCTCGTCACTCACTCGGGGAGGTGAGTTCCATGGTAACCAGGGGGTAACCAGGGTAACCTGGTAACCAGGGGTAACCAGGGGTAACCGGGGGTAACCATCGCCACCATCGCCATCGTCTCAGCGGTCCGGCTCGCTGGCTCACGACCTGCAGTGGCTCGTCACTCACTCGGGGAGGTGAGTTACATGGTAACCAGGGGTAACCAGGGGTAACCAGGGTAACCGGGGGTAACCAGGGGTAACCTGGTAACCAGGGGTAACCAGGGGTAACCATCACAGCGGTCCGGCTCGCTGGCTCACGACCTGCAGGGCCTCGTCACTCACTCGGGGAGGTGAGTTTAGGGCCCAGAAGGTTACCCTGGTAACCAGGGGTAACCAGGGGTAACCAGGGGTAACCTGGTAACCAGGGGTAACCAGGGGTAACCGTCACAGCGGTTTGGCTCGCTGGCTCACGACCTGCAGGGGCTCGTCACTCACTCGGGGAGGTGAGTTAATGATGGGGTAACCAGGGGTAACCGGGGGTAACCAGGGGTAACCTGGTAACCAGGGGGTAACCTGGTAACCAGGGGTAACCAGGGGTAACCAGGGGTAACCTGGTAACCATGGGTAACCAGGGGTAACCAGGGGTAACCTGGTAACCAGGGGTAACCAGGGGTAACCTGGGGTAACCATGGTAACTAGGTTAACCCGGTAACCAGGGGTAACCATCACAGCGGTCCGGCTCGCTGGCTCACGACCTGCAGGGGCTCGTCACTCACTCGGGGAGGTGAGTTAATGACCCAGCAGGTTACCCTGGTTACCATGGTTACTATGGGTAACCTGGTTACCCCTCACCACCCCTCCCACTCCTCCCTCCCCCAGGTGTGACGTCACCTTCGGAGGCTCCACCCTCATCGTATGCCCCTCCCACTCCCCACTCCTCCCTCCCCCAGGTGTGACGTCACCTTCGGAGGCTCCACCCTCATCGTATGCCCCTCCCACTCCTCCCTCCCCCAGGTGTGACGTCACCTTCGGAGGCTCCACCCTCATCGTATGCCCCTCCCACTCCTCCCTCACCCCTCCCTCCCCCAGGTGTGACGTCACCTTCGGAGGCTCCACCCTCATCGTATGCCCCTCCCACTCCTCCCTCCTCCCTCCCCCAGGTGTGACGTCACCTTCGGAGGCTCCACCCTCATCTTATGCCCCTCCCCCCTCCCACTCTTCCCTCCCCCAGGTGTGACGTCACCTTCGGAGGCTCCACCCTCATCGTATGCCCCTCCCACTTCTCCATCCTCCCTCCCCCAGGTGTGACGTCACCTTCGGAGGCTCCACCCTCATCGTATGCCCCTCCCACTCCCCACTCCTCCCTCCCCCAGGTGTGACGTCACCGTCAGAGGCTCCACCCTCATCGTATGCCCCTCCCACTCCTCCCTCCCCCAGGTGTGACGTCACCTTCGGAGGCTCCACCCTCATCGTATGCCCCTCCCACACCCCAATCCTCCCTCCCCCAGGTGTGACGTCACCGTCAGAGGCTCCACCCTCATCGTATGCCCCTCCCCCTCCCTCACCCCTCCTCCCTCCCCCAGGTGTGACGTCACCTTCGGAGGCTCCACCCTCATCGTATGCCCCTCCCACTCCTCCCTCCTCCCTCCCCCAGGTGTGACGTCACCTTCAGAGGCTCCACCCTCATCGTATGCCCCTCCCACTCTTCCTTCCCCAGGTGTGACGTCACCTTCGGAGGCTCCACCCTCATCGTATGCCCCTCCCACTCCTCCCTCACCCCTCCCTCCCCCAGGTGTGACGTCACCTTCGGAGGCTCCACCCTCATCGTATGCCCCTCCCACTCCTCCCTCCCCCAGGTGTGACGTCACCTTCAGAGGCTCCACCCTCATCGTATGCCCCTCCCACTCCTCCCTCCTCCCTCCCCCAGGTGTGACGTCACCTTCGGAGGCTCCACCCTCATCGTATGCCCCTCCCACTTCTCCCTCCTCCCTCCCCCAGGTGTGACGTCACCTTCGGAGGCTCCACCCTCATCGTATGCCCCTCCCACTCCTCCCTCCCCAGGTGTGACGTCACCTTCGGAGGCTCCACCCTCATCGTATGCCCCTCCCACTCCTCCCTCACCCCTCCCTCCCCAGGTGTGACGTCACCGTCAGAGGCTCCACCCTCATCTTATGCCCCTCCCACTCCTCCCTCACCCCTCCCTCCCCAGGTGTGACGTCACCTTCGGAGGCTCCACCCTCATCGTATGCCCCTCCCACTCCTCCCTCCCCCAGGTGTGACGTCACCTTCAGAGGCTCCACCCTCATCGTATGCCCCTCCCACTCTTCCTCCCCAGGTGTGACGTCACCGTCAGAGGCTCCACCCTCATCGTATGCCCCTCCCACTCCTCCCTCACCCCTCCCTCCCCCAGGTGTGACGTCACCTTCGGAGGCTCCACCCTCATCGTATGCCCCTCCCACTCCTCCCTCACCCCTCCTCCCTCCCCAGGTGTGACGTCACCTTCGGAGGCTCCACCCTCATCTTATGCCCCTCCCACTCCTCCCTCCCCCAGGTGTGACGTCACCTTCGGAGGCTCCACCCTCATCGTATGCCCCTCCCACTCTTCCTTCCCCAGGTGTGACGTCACCTTCAGAGGCTCCACCCTCATCGTATGCCCCTCCCACTCCTCCCTCCTCCCTCCCCCAGGTGTGACGTCACCTTCGGAGGCTCCACCCTCATCGTATGCCCCTCCCACTCCTCCCTCACCCCTCCCTCCCCCAGGTGTGACGTCACCTTCGGAGGCTCCACCCTCATCTTATGCCCCTCCCACTCCTCCCTCACTCCTCCCTCCCCCAGGTGTGACGTCACCTTCGGAGGCTCCACCCTCATCGTATGCCCCTCCCACTCCTCCCTCCCCCAGGTGTGACGTCACCTTCAGAGGCTCCACCCTCATCGTATGCCCCTCCCACTCTTCCTTCCCCAGGTGTGACGTCACCTTCGGAGGCTCCACCCTCATCGTATGCCCCTCCCACTCTTCCTTCCCCAGGTGTGACGTCACCTTCAGAGGCTCCACCCTCATCGTATGCCCCTCCCACTCCTCCCTCCTCCCTCCCCCAGGTGTGACGTCACCTTCAGAGGCTCCACCCTCATCTTATGCCCCTCCCACTCCTCCCTCACCCCCCCTCCCTCCCCCAGGTGTGACGTCACCTTCGGAGGCTCCACCCTCATCGTATGCCCCTCCCCCTCCTCGGCCGCCTTTGTATCCCTGGCTGTGAGGAGTCTGGGAGTGAGCTGTGAGCTGTACCTGGAGAGTTACAGTGGGTGGCAGAAGGGACAGATTCGCTGTCGGTTTGACCACGGGGTTACAGAGGTGAGTAACTCCTCACAAGATCACTCACCAGCTCACTCACCACTCACCAACTCACAGATTCGCTGTCGGTTTGACCACGGAGTTACAGAGGTGAGAAACTCCTCACAAGATCACTCACCAACTCACTCACCAACTCACCAACTCACTCACCAACTCAACAACTCACTCACCAACTCACCAGCTCACTCACCAACTCACCAACTCACTCACCAACTCACTCACCAGATCACTCACCACTCACCAACTCACCAACTCACTCACTCACTCACCAACTCACCAACTCACTCACTCACTCACCAACTCACCAGCTCACTCACCACTCACCAACTCACTCACCCACTCACTCACCCACTCACCAGCTCACTCACCCACTCACTCACCCACTCACCAGCTCACTCACCAACTCACAGATTCGCTGTCGGTTTGACCACGGAGTTACAGAGGTGAGTAACTCCTCACCAGATCACTCACCAACTCACCAACTCACTCACTCACCCACTCACCCACTCACTCACCAGCTCACCAGATCACTCACCAACTCACCAACTCACCAACTCACTCACCACTCACCAACTCACTCACCCACTCACTCACCACTCACCAGCTCACTCACCAACTCACTCACCAGTTAACTCACCAGCTCACTCACCAACTCACTCACCACTCACCAGCTCACTCACCAACTCACCAGCTCACTCACCAGCTCACTCACCAACTCACTCACCACTCACCAGCTCACTCACCAACTCACCAACTCACTCACCAGATCACTCACCAGATCACTCACCAACTCACCAACTCACCAACTCACTCACCAACTCACCAACTCACTCACCACTCACCAACTCACTCACCCACTCACTCACCAGTTAACTCACCAGCTCACTCACCAACTCACTCACTCACCACTCACCAACTCACTCACCACTCACCAGCTCACTCACCAACTCACTCACCAACTCACTCACTCACCCACTCACTCACTCACCCACTCACTCACCCACTCACCAGCTCACTCACCAACTCACAGATTCGCTGTCGGTTTGACCACGGAGTTACAGAGGTGAGTAACTCCTCACCAGATCACTCACCAGCTCACTCACCACTCACCAACTCACCAACTCACTCACCAACTCACCAACTCACTCACCAACTCACTCACCCACTCACCAACTCACTCACCAACTCACCAACTCACTCACCAGATCACTCACCAACTCACCAACTCACTCACCAACTCACTCACCACTCACCAACTCACTCACCCACTCACTCACCAACTCACCAACTCACTCACCAGCTCACCAACTCACTCACCACTCACCAACTCACTCACCCACTCACTCACCAACTCACCAACTCACTCACCCACTCACTCACCAACTCACTCACCACTCACCAGCTCACTCACCAACTCACCAACTCACTCACTCACCACTCACCAACTCACTCACCACTCACCAACTCACTCACCACTCACCAGCTCACTCACCAACTCACTCACCAACTCACCAACTCACTCACCAGCTCACTCACCAACTCACTCACCAACTCACTCACCACTCACCAACTCACTCACCAACTCACTCACCAGCTCACCAACTCACTCACCACTCACCAACTCACCAACTCACTCACCAGCTCACCAACTCACTCACCAGCTCACTCACTCACTCACCAACTCACTCACCAACTCACTCACCAACTCACTCACCAACTCACCAACTCACTCACCACTCACCAACTCACTCACCCACTCACTCATCAGTTAACTCACCAGCTCACTCACCAACTCACTCACTCACCACTCACCAACTCACTCACCACTCACCAGATCACTCACCAACTCACTCACCAACTCACCCACTCACCCACTCACCCACTCACTCACCCACCCACTCACCCACTCACCCACTCACTCACCCACTCACTCACTCAGTCACCCACTCACCCACTCACTCACTCACCCACTCACTCACTCACCCACTCACTCACTCACTCACCCACTCACTCACTCACCCACTCACTCACTAACTCACACACTCACCCACTCACCCACTCACTCACCCACTCACCCACTCACTCACCCACTCACCCACCCACCCACTCAGTCACCCACTCACCCACTCACTCACCCACCCACCCACTCACTCACCCACTCACTCACTCACTCACCCACTCACTCACTCACTCACCCACTCACTCACTCACTCACCCACTCACTCACTCACCCACTCACTCACTCACTGACTCACCCACTCACCCACTCACCCACTCACCCACTGACTCACCCACTCACCCACTCACCCACTCACTCACCCACTCACTCACCCACTCACTCACTCACCCACTCACTCACTCACCCACTCACTCACCCACTCACTCACTCACTCACCCACTCACTCACTCACCCACTCACTCACTCACCCACCCACCCACTCACTCACCCACTCACCCACTCACTCACCCTCTCACCCACTCACCCACTCACTCACCCACCCACTCACTCACCCTCTCACCCACTCACCCACTCACTCACCCACTCACTCACCCACTCACTCACCCACTCACTCACCCACTCACTCACTCACTCACCCACTCACTCACTCACTCACCCACTCACCCACTCACCCACTCACCCACCCACTCACCCACCCACTCACTCACCCACTCACTCACCCACTCACTCACCCACTCACTCACTCACCCACCCACTCACTCACTCACCCACTCACTCACTCACCCACTCACCCACTCACTCACTCACTCACCCACTCACCCACCCACTCACCCACTCACTCACTCACCCACTCACCCACCCACTCACCCACTCACTCACTCACCCACTCACTCACCCACCCACTCACTCACCCACCCACTCACCCACTCACTCACCCACCCACTCACTCACCCACTCACTCACCCACTCACTCAATCACCCACTCACCCACCCACTCACTCACTCACTCACCCACTCACTCACCCACCCACTCACTCACCCACTCACTCACTCACCCACCCACTCACCCACTCACTCACCCACCCACTCACTCACCCACCCACCCACTCACCCACCCACTCACTCACCCACTCACCCACTCACTCACCCACCCACCCACCCACTCACCCACCCACTCACCCACCCACTCACTCACCCACTCACTCACCCACTCACTCACCCACTCACTCACCCACTCACTCACCCACCCACTCACTCACCCACTCACTCACTCACCCACTCACCCACTCACTCACCCTCTCACTCACCCACTCACTCACTCACTCACCCACCCACTCACTCACCCACTCACTCACTCACCTACTCACTCACCCACCCACTCACCCACTCACTCACTCACCCACTCACTCACCCTCTCACTCACTCACCCACTCACTCACCCACCCACCCACTCACTCACTCACCCACTCACTCACTCACCCACTCACTCACCCACCCACCCACTCACTCACTCACCCACTCACTCACTCACCCACTCACTCACCCACTCACTCACTCACTCACTCACCCACTCACTCACTCACTCACCCACTCACCCACTCACCCACTCACCCACCCACTCACCCACCCACTCACTCACCCACTCACTCACCCACTCACTCACCCACTCACTCACTCACCCACCCACTCACTCACTCACCCACTCACTCACTCACCCACTCACCCACTCACCCACTCACTCACTCACTCACCCACTCACCCACCCACTCACCCACTCACTCACTCACCCACTCACCCACCCACTCACCCACTCACTCACTCACCCACTCACTCACCCACCCACTCACTCACCCACCCACTCACCCACTCACTCACCCACCCACTCACTCACCCACTCACTCACCCACTCACTCAATCACCCACTCACCCACCCACTCACTCACTCACTCACCCACTCACTCACCCACCCACTCACTCACCCACTCACTCACTCACCCACCCACTCACCCACTCACTCACCCACCCACTCACTCACCCACCCACCCACTCACCCACCCACTCACTCACCCACTCACCCACTCACCCACCCACCCACCCACTCACCCACCCACTCACCCACCCACTCACTCACCCACTCACTCACCCACTCACCCACTCACTCACTCACCCACCCACTCACTCACCCACTCACTCACCCACTCACTCACCCACTCACTCACTCACCCACTCACTCACTCACTCACCCACTCACCCACCCACTCACCCACTCACCCACTCACCCACTCACTCACTCACCCACTCACCCACTCACCCACTCACCCACTCACTCACCCACTCACTCACCCACTCACTCACCCACTCACTCACCCACTCACCACCCACTCACCCACTCACCCACTCACTCACTCACCCACTCACCCACTCACTCACCCTCTCACTCACCCACTCACTCACTCACTCACCCACCCACTAACTCACCCACTCACTCACTCACCTACCTACTCACCCACTCACTCACTCACTCACCCACCTACTCACTCACCCACCCACTCACCCACTCACTCACCCACCCACTCACTCACTCACCCACTCACTCACCCACTCACCCACCCACCCACTCACTCACCCACTCACCCACCCACTCACCCACTCACTCACCCACTCACCCACCCACCCACTCACCCACCCACTCACTCACTCACCCACTCACCCACTCACCCACCCACTCACTCACCCACTCACTCACTCACTCAGTCACCCACTCACCCACCCACTCACCCACTCACTCACTCACCCACTCACCCACTCACTCACCCACCCACTCACCCACCCACTCACCCACTCACTCACTCACCCACCCACTCACCCACTCACTCACTCACTCACCCACTCACCCACTCACTCACTCACTCACTCACTCACCCACTCACTCACTCACCCACTCACTCACTCACTCACCCACTCACCCACTCACCCACTCACCCACTCACTCACCCACTCACCCACTCACTCACCCACTCACTCACTCACTCACTCACCC